CACACTTTACACTCCACACTTTGTACTCTGCACTTTACACTCCTCACTCCACACTTTACACTTACACTCCACACTCCACGATTTACACTTTAGACTCCTCACTCTACACTTTACACACTCCACACTCCACGCTTTACACTCCACACTCCACACTTTACACTTACACTCCACACTCCACACTCTACACTTTACACTCCACACACTACACTTTACACTCTACACTCTACACTCCACACTCTACACTTTACACACTCTACACTCCCCACTTTACACTCCACACTCCTTACTTTACACTCCACACTCCACACTCTACACTTTCCACTCCACACTCCACACTCTACTCTTTCCACTCCACACTGCAGACTGGTAACAGGGGAAATATATATGTACAAGAATGTTCAAATCAACTATTGCAGAAAAGTCTTCTGCGTGACTGCATATCCATGTGTTTCGGCATCTGTAGCATTAACATACGTGTGAGCATTTGGGTTCGTGGGCTGCATCTTGTTTTTAAAACACTGCAATTGTAACGTTTGCAAGAAACAATGCGAAAACAACGCTCTGAAATTATAGTGTTTGGCATGTTTTTGAATGCACACACTCTGGCATTCTTGCTTTTTGCATGCAATTGTTCCAAAACATGGTAAATTGATGTAAATTGCAGAATTTTTTGGATTTTTACAAGAAGTGGTTTGAAGGAAGGGCGCTCCGGAGTTTTTGGCGGCCTTTGCATTTGTTTCTTTGACACATTGTGGGTCGCGAGGCTTCAGTTTTGGTAGCGTTTTAGGTTTTAAACATCCTTTGAACCCCTTTAGAGATCTATGCAATCCAGAATCCATCAGTCCAAATAGAAGAGTTCAACTTCGGTAGTTGCAAGGCTGCAAGGGGCATCGCCAGTTTGCGAAGCCGGTCACCGGTCAACGACAACTCCCGAGACCGCTGAGATGCCTGCTCAACCTTGTGGTTCCTCCAACTCACCGGAAGCTGCCTGATTTCGACATGAAAAATGGAGAAAACTTGAGAAATTTAACAATCATTAGCAATCATTAGCAATCCACAAAAGAAAATACAAATTTGCCATCGACCAAGAAAACCATGATGTTACGTTGTGATTCAGAGTGCCAGCCAGCCTGGTCCATATCGCGACTGCGCTGGAACTGCGGGGGCATTGCAACGCCATAGACCTCAAAGAGATTTGACGGTGTCCTTCTCCTATCAAGATATTTTGCTCACATCTTGCACAAGAAATTCTTTTCCTCGAAACCCAACAAAAGCACCTATCTGATTGAGAAATGTTGACATGCAAAAACACAAGACCCCACAGCGCTGCCAATAGTCAAGTGCGTGCTAGAAAAGAGTTCGCCAAGGCTTTTGGAAAAGGAACCACCTTTGTTGAAAGTTGCCATCTCTGGCCGCCTTTCTTCGCTTCGCTTCAGGTGCCTTGTTCAAGAATTGAAGACCAGCCTGGTCACCAAGCGAACCTAAACTTCTTGAAATTAGGATGTTCGAACTTCAAACACTTTTGGATGTTCATCTTGTGCCTTGGCAAAACTCTGGCTGCTGTATCATGAAACTCTGCGCGCCCGCACCTTGTCCAGATCAATGTGTGCTTCGGGCTTTGCCTGGTTCTCAGCAGAGTGGACGAGTGTCGCACAACCACGAAAAATGTCATGAGCTGCCCGTAACTTACTTCTTCTGCACCAAAAACATTCTGAAACATACTGAAACTATGTGGCCAACTACGTTGCAAGTCGACTTGCTCCATGCCATCAGCGTGTGCCCGTTTTGCGCCTCCGTCGACCTCAAAGACGAAAAGGAAGAAAATAAGCAGTTCATGTGGGCCCCATGTATGTTCATGTCACTTCATTTGTCCCTGTCCTACTGCATTCTCGCGAGCATTTCCGTGTAAAGCTTTTGAACTCCTTCAGGCTTGGCTCGACTGTTCCAGATTCAGAATGCACTGGTTCGTATCACGACACTTACGTTTAAAGTTCGCTTGCAGCAACAGACTAACCTCCCATACCTTCCAGAGAACAGGGCAGCGGGCCAACGAACGCACAAGAAATTTTCATCGGCAGGTTACAAAAACAACACTCGGGGGGCTTCTTCACTTTTTAGGTACTCTCTGACTGGCTCGGCTAAGTCACTGCACAGTGTCGCACCACAATATGTTCTTTTTCCCACACTTCCTTCAGTCAGATCGACGTATCAAGGTCACGGGACCGGGGGCGTTCACACAGTGGGTGAAAGGCTCTGCTAATTCTTTGCAATTTTGTTGATATACGAGTATGTTGAGATAAACTTTTCACGGGGCTCATAATTTTGATTAATTTTGTATGTTACATTTTTGTTTTTTGCTGGTCTCTGCGCCGTCTCTGCTGCGTTAGGCACTTTTTTCTTGCACCGGAGCTGCACCGAAGCTCCTGCTGAACTCCGGCTGAGCTCCTGGCGGGGTCGACGGTGTCGGCGCTTGGGATGTTGCTGCGGATGTTGACGGTGTCGGCGCTGGCTCTGGCGTCTTCTCTGTCGGTGCAGAAAATGCCTCCAATGCGAACAGTTTGGACTTTGACTTTGATTCAAATTGCTCAATTGTTGCTGTTTTTTCGCAAAACTTTGACCAAGAAACAGGATCTTTTCAAATCTTTTTTGCCCCGGCCCTTGGCCTTAGCAGCCTTAGCCTTGGGTGCTTCAGCCTTGTCGGCCTTCTCAGCTTTCTGAGCTCTGTCCTTTTCAGTGAGACGCGCCAAGACTTCTGCCGTGGAGCTTGGCGCCGTCCTGGCGTCGAACATCTACAGAATCTACAGCTCGAAAATGGACTGGCGCAATGGCACTCAAACATCACAAACATAACAAACTTGGAGAGTCACAAGACTTGAGTTTTGGAGTTTTGGGTGCAAATTCCGGGTCTGAGATCCAATGATCGCCGAGTAAACGTTCTGGTCATCGACAATAGTTTGTGTCTCAGATTCTGCTTCATGAAAAAATGCCAGCAAACAAGTGTAATTGGTCTAATATATTCGACCGCAAAAATTGACACATGCCCTACCCTGCCCCACTAAGCAACCATCAAGGCTCTAGTGACTCAGTTGTATTGTTTGCTCTGTTTTCTAGGCTGCCATATGCTCTCTGTGACCCCTCTCCGTTTTGCGCTTGGCATCCCAAACGTTTACCAATTTGCAGATTTTGCAGAATTCAGAACGACTCAAAACATGTTTCGGAAGACCTGGATGCAGCTTTGGCCTGCCCGAGATTGGGACGCAAACAGCAGTGACAACTGATGTGATTATGTCATTGCAAGCTTGTGTCAGTTGGCGGTTCAAAAACTAGTGACGGTCATTTTTTTTAAAACCTTGCGACATGAATCTGAAATGAGAACCTTTTAAATCAGAATCCAGCAGAAAAGACGTCCAAAAATAAAACCTTTGAGCCTTTGAACATTCTGGAAGTGGCACCCGTGAAATGTACGGTGCCGTGCCTTGGCTTCAGGCTGTGATTTAGGCACTTTGGGCACCGTCGGAGCGCTGGTGGCCTTTTCGGTATTGGTCTTTGCCTGTGCCAACATCGCCTTAGCGCACGGGACCGGACAGGGCAAGATAATGTAAGATAATGCAAGATAGCTATGATAGCATTGACAAAAGTTGGTCAACATTGGCAAGGTGATGCTTGGGCATGGCAGGGCCCTCATAACAACCCATGGGTTTGCAGGGCTCTCTCAGCCAAGTCACTTCGAATTTCGCCAATCGACTCTCTACTTCCTGTGAGATACGTCAACGTGAAGCATAAAATCACTTCACATCAAGTTCACTGGGCGGGGCTGACCGTGCACTTCTGCTTTCATTCGTCCCTTGACCTTTGATTCTCTCTTTGATTCTCTCTTTGATTCCTGTCTCTTTCGTGTCCTCCAAACGCTTTTGGAGCTTGTCACCTTTGTCTTGTCGGAGCTCAGCCACCGTTGCGTTCATAAACGCGTCCAAGGAATCCTCACCCGGTGAATCCATTGGAGTTTTCTTGGTGCCACCTTCCTCCATTAGGCTTTTCAATGATGCCAAAATGGACCTTCAAATTTCTGAGCGTTTTTGAAGCTAATGAATTGTGCCCTATCCTTGTCTTGGCAATCAAGTGGTGCATGCCGATATTGTACGGAATGATTATATTTCTCTTGCGGTCTCTCCTCCTCTTCGCCAGCAGAACTTTGTTTCTTAGCTTTCACCTCGTCAAACGACTGAAAATCTTGCAACCAAACAACGCAGAACGACTCTCAGCGGTACAAGGTACAAAACCCTCAGCAAACTCCTGGCACTTTGGAACCTTTCGGATGGACCATTAGACTTGACAGAACTTTTCGTGCGACCGCAAGACCACTGTGTTTTTTTTTTTCTCTCTCTCTCTCTCTTTCTTGCAGGCCTATTTACCAGCCTCATGCGGTGGTTTTCCCGTTCCCTGCTCTTGCCTTCTCTGCTGCTAGTTGTGCCATGACGCGGCCCTTCTCTGCTTTCAACTGAGAGACCTTCACCTGTAGACTGTTGCAAGTAGAGAATGCGGCATTGCACTGAAACATGCACAGAAGGACAGAATGGCGAAGTCTTACACAGAAAAGCAACAAATGCTTAAAAACATGTGACAGATATGTCATATATGTGACACAAGTTACTCACAAGTTGTGTCACAAAAGAAGATACATTAAATATACATTAGTAAGACTCATTAGTCTCCAAGTGTGATCTCAAATCATCGCAATGACATTCTGCACAGAATCCATGCATCGCCTCCAAGGACTTCTCGTTTTCCACGGCGTCCAACCTGCATCCGAAAATATCCGAAACTTGGATTGACAATTTCATAAACAGGTATAAACAGTGAAAACATGTGCAAACTGAGCATTTAAAATAGAGAGCTGCCATCACAAGATCTCAGAGCAGTTACATACTTCCATTGGTGCTTTGGATTGTGGATGGGAAACCAACACACATTGTTGTAGAAATTAAAGATGACAAAGGAAGATGTTTTCAAGACGAAAAGGAATGCAATGTATCTTCCTCTTCTCCTCCTCTTCTTCTGGGCCAACTAAGAAACTGAGGACAAGAACGTTGGCAAACCCATCAGCTCTGTTGGAATGTCTGCCTCCCGTGCAATGTGCAGGGAAAAGGTGGGAACTTTGACCGGGCAACTGCACTCCACGTAAAAATCTGTGGTCACAAGATTGTACCGTTGCGTATCCCGGGGATACAAGTGACACGCGCCCCAAACACTATGCAAGGATATGAAAGGCCTCCTTCTAGCGCTGCCAACGCAGGGAAAATAGCTCTTTTGCATCACAAATTCATCACATCATTGACATCATTGATATAGCTGCTATTAGCTTTTCGATGCTTTGGTACTTGCAACATCTTGCAACATCTTGCAACCGACCAAATCTGTGGGAGCAAATCATGGAACATTTGAACATGATACAGCATGATCATCATGATCCCAAAAACCGACCTAAACCGACCTTAAATATCTTAAATCCTTCACAGTTGCGGCGCTTCCTTCTAGCAACTTTCACGTTTTCACACGCTTCAGTGTTTTATTCTTGGCTCGGTCGCCCAAATCGGGTTTCACCAGGTTTCCAACTTTCACTCTCCACTCCACCTCTGCCTCTTCAGGTGCAGGACCTTTGACCTTGATGTGGATCACAAATCATGGAGCGGGGATCGGTGATCATCGGTGGCTAACGGCTAACCCAACTTGGATAGTTCTCTCGGAAGCACTTTCGTCCACGCACATATTACAGCCTCCTTGTGTTCTCAAGTCCGAAGGTCAAAGATCCGAAGTTCAAAGTTATTTGCCGAGACAAGTATTGATACAGCACTAATGTCTCAAAGTCGTTTCATTTGAACATGGCACTTACCAAACAACTTCTTCCAAACAGCGCATATCAGGACACTATGTGCACTCAAGAACTTTGCGGATCTTACAACTTTCCAGGCCACAGGCTCTGCCTGTTTTCCTCTGCATGTTTCCATGCTTGAAACGTCCGTCTTGGAAAGGTGCTGTTTAAATCGATTCCAAGACCAACCCATGTCTTTCCATGCAGGTTTGGCGGAAACCTAAGAGCTGCAGCAGGATGTTTATACAGTCCTTGCAGCTAAATCCCTGCATGGCCAGTGGGAACTTAAAAAGGTACATCTAAACTGAAAACACGATCGTCATACCACTTGGTTTTCAAATGTATTTTTTTACAATTTTTGACATACTGCTGATATTCCAAATTATCATTCCTTGGGGGCCATTTACTGGAAACTGTCTATGCAGAGTATCATTCACAGCTCACTCTCCCGAGCTTTGGGGAGTTCCAGCTATCTGCAGCTGCCTAGCGTTTCAAAATCTTTCAAACTTGCATGACAGGTAGATCATCAGATCATCCGGTAGATCCATGAAAATCGTCAGATGTTTTGGTTCCGACGAATCTTAGAAAATGTCACACGTTGTCTTTGAAGCATGACGCGGCCAGATCTTTTGTCGTGTACAACATGGGAGTTTCTAAAATGATGTGAGTTTATCCTTGCATGTGCTTGAGTTAATACCCTCAGCTGATCCTCACGCAGACACACACACACACACACTTGCATTGTGAGTCATAAACTGCAACCGGAATTCATGAGTTACCAATAAGCTGAATGTTTCAACAGACTTTCAACAAATGCAAAATCTATGCGACAGCTATGCTATGCGAAATCTATGCGTTTTGAACAATTTTTCGATTTCGAATGATTTCGACTGCTGTTTTGGTCTGTTTTGGTCTTTCGACTTTTCGGATTCGTTTTTTGCGCCTTCGGAGCTCCTCCACCTCGGCCTCTGCTCTCCGCGCGCGCTCCAGCAGGCCGGACGGGGAGCTGTCAGAAACTTCCCTGACGCAGAGACGCAAAGTGTCAATACAGGGAAAGCGAAAAAGTACAAATTACAGACAAAATAACAGTACATCACAGATAAGTAAGATGAGTAACATAAGTATAAGTACCATAAGATATGTGGAGAAATTTCACTTGTCATCCTACGTCAGTTCTTCATGATCTTCTAGAAACAACTTCTGCTAGTGTATCTTGTGGAAACACTGCTGTGATCCAGTTTTCCTGCTGGAACTCAGCGCACAAAAAATGGATTGAATATGGCACGAAGCTGGCATGGAGCACTGAAACTGCCATGACGGGCATGAAAAAGGTACAGGTTCTCTCCCGACGTGCCAGATTCAGGTGTGGAAATGAGCTTTCTGCAGCTAACTGGCTCATTCCGTTGTCCAGCTTCTTTCATGCTAATGCCTGCAGCAGGTGTTGCAAAACAGAACAAACACTTGAAAAAAGGTAAAAAAGACAAAGTCTGCTTGGCTTTTGCATAGCTTTTTGCATACTTCACAGTGATGTGGAGGAGCAAAGATAGCAATAGGGCCAATATCTCAGGTAATCTTCGAAGATTAGATCCAGTTGCTGCCAGTTGCTGGCAAGATTCCACTCAAGCTTACGACCCATGCAAAGTCGCCAACGTGGTCTCCCACCAATTTCGTCAACGCTGCCCAGCTGGTGATCTTGTGCCTCTACAGAAACATACAGAAACGAGATTGGGAACGCATGTGTAATGGAAATGTAATGGAAATGACTCTAATGAATGACCAATGAGGTCGATTCAGCATCTTACAAGTCTAATGGTTTGAGACTTAGCCTAGCATGCCATACGTCTGCCAAAATACGCGCGGCCTTGGCAACAAAGATTTCAAATGGGTTGAATTGCATTGTCTGCCTTGGTGCAGAGCTTGGGGCACATATCGCAAAGTCTACCGGGCAGCTTGGGAAGAGAAAACTGAACAACGGGAGATATAACATGATACAACCACGAATCCCAATGCATGAACATTTCCAGCCAACAACTTCTTACAGTGGCGGAGGAATGTAAAAGAGCTGTTGTATGTATGCTCTTGAACCATGCGTTGGATACCCCAAATGTTTCAAAGTGTACATATGAACGCATCTATCAGGTCGTGCAGCTTTGAACATCCTCCAAGGTTAAAAAATCCATCGCACCAGTTGCAATGACATGCAATGACATGCAATGACATTCAATGACCGTCCTGTATAGGTCAATGATGGTCAATGATGGTCAATGCCAAATGATCCAAATGCCAAATCTCTGTCCGCCCTGGCCCTGAGGCGCCCTGGCCCTTGGCCCTGAGGCGGTGACATAATCGGACCAAAACTTCAAAGGCTGCAGTGTGCAAACAGGCGCATTTCAAGCGAGCCAGGTTTGGAAAGCCGGAGGAATAGCAAACCATCAAACTTTCCTCGACAGATTGATCCACCTGCAGCTCTTTAATCAAGAGATCTTCAATGATCATGACCAGCTCGGTACATCCCAAGAAATCTGCCACTTTGATCAGTTCCAAGGATCCTCCGTAATCATTCTTGTCCCACCAATCCTCGAAATACTGGCGGCCACCCATGATGATCCCCAGCAAAGAATCCAAAGCTTTGGCTGGAGCTTCGATTCCCAATTCAATGCGCGAACCTCCAGCAAAAGCTGAACCAAGGTAAGTCTTGACATAGGGCAGGCGAGCTGAAGCTAAGCGTTTTGGTACATGGAACTCTTGTGAATCCAGGACTAATGTGATCGTCTCGTGCCAACAGCCTTGAAAATCATCCGAGTCATACGGCACGTCAAAGTCCTCTGACTGTGGACAAATCGCCCATGGGTCATAGGTCACATCGGACAGGTTTGTGATCCCCGTCAGCAAGTAAATATCAATGTAGACGCCGTCTGCTAAATCCTCAAGGCAAATTACACCAGCATCATGGTGATTGTGGCTATCGCCCACCATTCCTTGGCAACAGCGACAGCTATCGACAGCTTCAAGTTATGAAGAGATTTGAAGAGATCTGAGAATTGCAGCCGCAGCAAGTTTCGGTTGTTTCAAGAAAGCAAACAAGGCAAAAACGTTGCAAAAAAGATATTGATAGAATTTGATAGATATTGGGTCATGCATCCTGGCCAAAACTTGAGGCCGGGGGTGGATGACGAAAGCTAGCGGGGTAGGAGAAAGAAGGAAGGGAAGAGGTGAGTTGCGGAGGGACTGTCATCATCGTGTCGCGGCATTGTTCGTCCCAACGAGGATGCAACAATGATATATGATATATGATATATAACAATGATATATATGGGGGAGGGGGCAGGGGAGGGCCCTTTCGCGTGAAAAATCACGTGATGTCCTTGGGGAGCCCCGGAATACTTGCTAAAGCAAGAAGACTCTAGCGAGCTGACGCTACCTTTCGTGATAATGCCAACAATTGCCAATAATGATGAAATGTAAGTGAATAACGATGATGATGATGATGATGACGACGACGACGATGACGATGACGAGGACGAGGACGATGACGAGGACAAGGACGAGGACGAGGACGAGGACGATGATGATGATGATGATGATGACGATGACGATGACGATGACGAGGACGACGATGATGATGATGATGACGATGATGATGACGATGATGATGACGACGATGATGATGATGATGATGACGATGATGACGATGATGATGACGATGAAGATGATGATGATGATGGTGATGGTGGTGGTGGTGGTGGGGGGGTCCCCCCCTTTCGCGTGAAAAATCACGTGATGTCCTTGAGCAGCCCCCGGAATACTTGCTAAAGCAAGAAGACTCCAGCTAGCTGACGCTAGCTTTCGTGATGTCGGAATCAAAGTGTTCTTTCTTGATTCTTGTGCGCAGGTCTCGTATCTGGAGATCTTTTTAGTCTTTACCCTCCAATTTTCTTCATTTGATTTGTATCTCTTAAGTATCTCATGCTTTCTCCTAGCAGGCGCTCCTATTTTGCCCCTGGTTTCACATTGTTTCGCATCTCACAGTGTCTCACAGTGTCTCACAGTGTCAAGGGACATGGGAAACCGTTGGAGTGGCGGTGCTCTCGGTTCGTTCTCTGCTTGTCCATGGTTACCGTGTCCGTGAAGATGCAGGCATCCTCCGGCATCCGAATACGTGAAGATGCGAACTGCAAGTGCAGGTGCATGGAGGCATCCTGCAGCCGGGAAATGCCCTGCATGCATCAGCCATGTCATGAAACCCACGTGGAAAAATCTTCGTTTCAAACTAAAGTGCGGATCGCAGCCAGTCAGTGCCAGTCTAGCCAGTCTCTGTGCCAACATGGACTGTTGCAGTGTCATGTCACTGGATTGATCTGGATTGGCTACCATCCTGCACTTCTAAGTTGTTTTTGTAGTTTTTGTGTCATGCGCACTATGCATTTCCGTTCTTGCTGGAAACTCCCATGTACTCCAAATATACTCCGAACGTACTCCTCTTCTCCATTTGAGATGGGTTCCAAGAAAAACCTCAGCTCCGAAGTGTCACCCTTGGTCACGCTGCTCTGGTGAGTTCCAACCTTCAAAAGGAGAAAAACACATTTCTGTTCAAGAACTTAGTTTGTTGGATGCCCAAGGAAATGCATCATCGTGGTGACTTTAGAATTCCTCCACTATTAGTGAATAATGAGTGAATAATCTTAACTTCATCAACTCCATCAACTTCATCGTTTCGTTGCCCAGGAACAGGAGCTCACCTGCCCAAGCGCAGTTGTTGCTGACGCTTACCTCAAGGCTGCGCTTTGAGGTGTGCTTTCAGGTGTGTTTTGATTTCTCCTTTTCATTACCTTTGCACTTGGTTTTCCCAGCGCTCCCGAAATACTTTGCCACAGCTGTGGCTCTGATCGAGGTTGTATCATGTTGCATCTCTGTTTTGTTGGGTCCGATCTCGCAATTCTTCAAAATCTTGCAGGAGAGTTGCAAGCTGAAGATCAAGATGTGCGTTCCGACTTTGGGTCGACACACTTTCACCTTGGAGTCTGCAAAAAGCCTCCAAATCTCCAACCTGGTATCTCTACAGAGCTTCGGTCTCGAGAACAAAACCCCGAACCAACCTCGCTGGATCTCGCTGTTTTGTAGCATACAAATTCTGAATTGTGAATAATTGTGAATAATTGTGAATGTGCATACAAAATATACAAACTTGCTGCTTGGGACTTGCTTGGGACTTGCTTGTTGGGAAGGCACTTCCAAGCTGACGTGCACGAGAACGTAGATGAAATCGTAAATGGTAAAGTTCAAGATTTTCGGTTGCAATCCATGGCGGTTCAATCTCTGACATGGCTCAAGGAGGGCAAATCTCTGTGAGAAGCGAGAACGAAAGAAAAAATTGCAGTCCATCGAATGTCGTGCGCTGGCATGTCGCTTCTGACAGCTTCTGACAGCTTCTGACAGCTTCTGACAGCTTCTGACAGCTTCTAACAGCTTCACTAGCTTCACCTACTCTGACTTACTTTCCGAGTGGAATATCATGCCAAGATATGCCAAGCATGCAGCAGCTCGCGGCAATGAGCTCCACTTCTTGTTCCCCCTACCCGCCAGGGAGCTGACAAAATGTTGTAAACACACAAAAAAAACATCTACTTCTGTGGCATTTTTTTTGGGAAGCAAAGCTGTTGTCGCTTGAGCAAGAGCAGGTCAGGACAAGTTTCAGTATCTGTCAGAGTCAAAGGAAGGGTACAGGGATTGATCCAATCAAGAAAATCATAAAACATATTCATTACGCATGACTGCATTTGTAGCTGGAAAGGATGACAGGGTTGAGGAAGTCCCAAAGGAAACGAATTGTGCAAAGGACATCTTCCAGCTGGAAATGACAATTCTCAACAAAGAGAGTGCGACACAAATGCACACAGCCCCTAGACTGCAAGAGACTGGTTAGTGAATACACTCAGAACCATGGAGAGACAGGCAAAGCAAGAGGGATAATTAGATAACTATATAATAAGACTATATATAACTCTTGTTGGCCGCACAATGTCAAGCCCTGCAAACCACCTTGAGCATGTGAAGGAAATTGAGGAAATACAAACGTTTAATCTTGTTGAATCTTGTTGACGTATTTGACGTATTTGACTTGCTGTTTATGCCCTGTTTATGGGGATTGCCACGTCTGCCACGTCCACATCCCAGGCTCCCAGGCTGCACGATCAAAGAATTCATCGTCGCTATCATTCTCTCTGGTGTCGTAAAGTGCAGCGGTCTTCTTGCTAATTTTGCCCAGGCCTGCCTGAATGCAAACTGCACTGTAAACTGCACTGCAAACTGCACTGCAAACCCCAAAATCGGAAACTGGCAATGTGTTCTTGGTGTTTACCATAGTTTTATAGCCTTTTGCTGATCTGAATAACAAAGTTCTAATTTCTACAGAAATCGTCCGTTGGCTCTAGGGCTCTATGGATCTTATCGCCGAATCGCGGAAGCCGAGGAAACCCCCAAACTGCTGAAAGATGACATCGGCCTTTTTGAGGCCCAAGGAGACAAAGAGGACATCGACCTGTACACGGATCACGGATCAAATCAGTCATGGAGGAAAGACCGGAAGACCCTACCAGGTTCTCTAGCAGCTCTAGCATGTTCTCTAGCATTCTCTCAATCTATCCCATGACTTTTCTTAGAATCTCGATGCCTTTCAGTCCCGGAACTTTTTCAGAGCAATGGTTACCCAAGAAACCGAGGCCCTTTTGTACTCAAAACATTTTCAGTCCCGCAACTTATTTACAGCTTCATTGATTCATTCGGGGTCTTGGTTTTGTTTTTTTGGGTGTAGCCTCGGAGCAGCGCCAGATGGTATTTCTGTTAAGTTTGCAAACTGCATGTCTCACATCTGCTTGATGGGAGATGGAGCTGCCTTATCCTACGATGAAAATCGATGAACACTTGGAAACTCAAGTTGACTAAGCTCAACAACTCAAGAAATCGCCGGAGCAAAGCATCTTGAAATACCAAGACAATCCTTCTAACATAGCTCATGTTTTCAGGAAACAACATCCCCTCCCTGTTGCCTGGTTTCCGAAGTCTTCCTCGGCTTTTTCGATCCTGCAGCTTGGGTGACGATGCGCAAGTCCGATACGTGTGTGAAGAATGCCTGCACTACGAAAACATGCAAACACGTTGCGATGCAATGCTCAGGTGCACTGGCCTTTCAGTGAGTTTCTGCAAGCGCTCCATGTTTTGGGTCCCCATGCCGCTGTCAGGAAGCTCCTTAGGACAGTTGACTCTTCTCCTGAACGAATTTCTATAGGGATGTCCTCTTCTATGTTCATTGCCTGAGCAAGTTTAGCCAGGTCCCCTTTATCCAACAACTCCATGTGAGTCTCATTCGTCAGATTCAGTCCACCCTCAGAATCGGTCTTTCTCATGCAGTGATATCATAGTTGTCTCATGTTGTCTCTTCAAGCAAATTGTGTATCAGCAACCCTTGCCAACATTCCTTATACATGCCATCTTGTTCTCTGTACTACTTTGTCATGGTGCCCATAATTTTACAGTTTCTTTCGAACATGACCCAACTGACCCAACTTCAAAACCTTCTCGACCAAGGTTCATCGATGTCCAGATCAGCTGCCGCTTTCTTCCGTGCGCGGGAGGCCGCCTGCTCCTGGCGCAGAATGCGAATTGCAAGAACGATCAACGGCTGACTCATCAACATGATCGCAGAATGATCACAGAATGATCACAGAATTGTAGATTTGTCGTGGCATAAGAGTCAGAATTCACTTTTGCAGAAACAACCTCAGCGTCTGAAAGCTTTGCTTCGTGATTTCGTTTCAAACCTCGCCTCCTGCTTTTGCTTCTCCCTGGAGCAACAGAGCAACAGAGCAATCAAGTCTCTTGGAATCTTGACCCCCAAAGTCTCGATCGGAACGTTCTGCCTGTCCCTGGCATCTTTCCCACTCCAATGCCCTGCTAAAGCCCAGTGATTTTCTGTCATTCTCACTGCAAAATCGAGATTCAGCAGAGTCCCGGCGGAATAAACATCCACGGAACGGCAGGGCAACCCGTCCAAAACGGTGACTTTTTTCAGAACAACCTCCTTGCATACCATGATGGTACACATGCACGTATGGTGCATTTATACATGTAAGGAGGTCTATTTTTTGAATATATGTATATCATGTATGTGTGCATGTACACACATATATATATATATTGTGTACATCACACATGTAGTTGTATTAGACATACCGTAAATTATACATATTCTCGCATCATGTTTTCTGCTTGCTATTGTTGACGAAGGCACCGATACATGTTGGAGATCTTCTTTTGCTTCTGCTCCAGCTTCTGCACCATGGCCTCCTGTGATTCACACTTTGATATTTTAAAACTGATTTCACATTTGTCCGAAAGTCTGGACACTTCTTTGACTTCACGCATTTGACATATCTTGATACATTGAAAAAGAAACACTCTGTGTGCCTGCTTCTGCGAGAGAGTCAATGCACGCACTTTTTCCAAATCCAGCTTTCCATTGGCCTTGGGTATGCGCTGAACGTTGCTTCATGTGTTGGATGCGGATGCTTCTTGAAAGCCGTGCAGTAGCACTGAATGCCACGGAGTTTTTCTTCGGCTCTGGCATCCATCAGCTGTTTGGCATCATCGTGAAGCTCCTGAGATGTGCGGAAAGTCGCATGTCTTGTCCACAGAAACAACGTTCTGCAATGAGTTCACGGTTCGTTCTTCGTATTTCGTGTATTTCGTGTATTTCGTGTATTTGGTCCTCCATGGGAACGTCCACTGCATCGTCAGCCATGCCCCAGGTCACCTGGACGAGACATGACGAGACACGAGACACGAGACAAGGGCAAGCGTGGCCGTGGCCTCGTAAGTCTCGTAAGTGTAATCAAACGTAATCAAACGTCGAACGCCATCCCAAACCATCGGCCATCCCCATCCAATTGATGGAATATCATGGAATACCATGGAATATGCAATCTGTGGCCAGGGTGTGGCACTCCGCCAACATCCCAACACAGAACACAGAGTGGCCTGATGCAACTTGGCACGATCTGCTTCTTCGATCTGTTTCCTCTGCTCCATCTTCTTCTCTGCCTGGACCGACAAAAAGGTCTAAAAGGTCATACATGGGAAATCACTTCGTGCTTTTCTGCGAAAAACTCCCACCCCATCGGTACCTGTGCGGCATAGGCCTTTGCAACAGCTTCGCGTTGAGCCTGCGACAAGACTGAAGGGTCATCTTGGGTTTCGCATCAAAGTTGACATCACTCTTACACAACCTCCACGTGCATGCGCTTCTTTTTGGCGGCTTTTCGACGGGCCAAGTCCTTCAAAGATGAATTCTCAACTTAGTAACTTGTGAAACATCCGAACACCAACAGTCTAAGAATGTCTAAGACATACAATCACACATTCAACAAGTACCGACAAATTCATGCAGAAAGATAGGCTGTCTCCTCTGAGATCGCTTTCTCTTTAGCAGCACGTTCCTACAGCTCAAATCAAGAAAAACTAATGTTTCTAGCCTGGCCAACTTCTCGATGCAGAGCCTCTTTCATGTTGAGATAAAGTTTGTAGAACGGAAACTCTGAACTTTGTGATGTGAACAATATGATAACAATATGATAACCCGGTATGAACAGTGTGTGAACATGGTTTTGCAACTTTTGTGCTGTGAGATCTGTTGAGATCTGAGACGGTCCTTTGCAGCTTGCTCTCGAAACTCGGTGAGATCGATTTCACCCTCTTCCTCCATGGCCTGGGAAACAAGGAAACAAACCGGAAACCGATGGGTTCGAAGGAGAAACTTACGACCCTTCCACCATCCAGCTGCAGCATGAATTTCCGGAAATTTAAAATCTATGAGAATCTATGAGAATCTACGGGGTGGGTGACAGAAACATGTGATGCCGGGGTCTTGAATCAACAAAAAAAACAAATGCACTGCGCTCTGAAAAGCGGTTAACCACTCACTTCCAACATCAAAAATCAACTCACTTCCAACACCGACTCACTCCCAACACCAAGAACTCACTCCCAACACCAAACATTGACTCACTTCCAACACAAAAAACACTTTTCGGCGTCGAGGGCGAGTCGGTTTTCCGTTTCCCCATTGGTGCTGAGGCGTCACTTCTGGAACCCCATCATAAACAAACATTACAGGGAAAATGATCAACACTGAGAAACCCCTCAAGGGGATTCAACCCCCCCCTTGCCTTCCACAATACCATCATCTAAAATCTAACTCGTTATTTAAACTTCCCCCCCCTTGCCTTCCACAATGCCATCATCTAAAATCTACCTCTTTATATAAACTTCCCCCCCCTGCCTTCCACAATGCCATCATCTAAAATCTACCTCTTTATATAAACTTCCCCCCCCTGCCTTCCACAATGCCATCATCTAAAATCTACCTCTTTATTTAAACTTCCCCCCCTTGCCTTCCACAATGCCATCATCTAAAAATCTACCTCTTTATATAAACTTACCCCCCCTGCCTTCACAATTGCCATCATCTAAAATAAATGCCTTTTAAACTAACTCTTTATTTAAACTTCCCCCCCTTGCCTTCCACAATGCCATCATCTAAAATCTAACTCTTTATAACTTCCCCCCCCCTTGCCTTCCACAATGCCATCATCTAAAATCTAATCTTTATTTAAACTTCCCCCCCCTGCCTTGCACAATGCCATGATCTAAAAAATCTAACTCTTCATTTAAACTTCCCCCCCTGCCTTCCACAATGCCATCATCTAAAAATCTAACTCTTTATTTAAACTTCCCCCCCCTTGCCTTCCACACTGCCATCATCTAAAATCTAACTCTTTATTTAAACTTCCCCCCCCTGCCTTCCACAATACCATCATCTAAAATCTACCTCTTTATTTAAACTTCCCCCCTTGCCTTCCACAATGCCATCATCTAAAATCTAACTCTTTATTTAAACTTCCCCCCCTTGCCTTCCACAATGCCATCATCTAAAATAACTATTTAAACTTCGTTTATTCGAAAAAATTAACTCCCCCCCCTGCCTTCCACAATGCCATCATCTAAAATCTACCTTTATTTAAAACTCCCCCCCCTGCCTTCCACACTGCCATGATCTAAAAATCTAACTCCATTTAAACTTCCCCCCCTTTGCCTTCACAATGCCAGCATCTAAAATCACCTCTTTAAAACTTCCCCCCCTTGCCTTCCACAATGCCATGATCTAAAATCTACCTCTTTATTTAAACTTCCCCCCCCCTTGCCTTCCACAATGCCATGATCTAAAAATCTAACTCTTCATTTAAACTTCCCCCCCCTGCCTTCCACACTGCCATTATCTAAAATCTAACTCTTTATTTGAACTTCCCAGCCCTTGCCTTCCACAATGCCATCATCTAAAATCGACCTCTTTATTTAAACTTCCTTCCCCCTTGCCTTCCACAATACCATCATCTAAACTCTAACTCTTTATTTGAACTTCCCCCCCCTTGCCTTCCACAATGCCATCATCTAAAAATCTAGGCTTTTGTCGGTTTTTGTCGGTTTTTGTCGGCTTTTGTCGTAGTAGTCGTCGTCGTCGTCGTCGTGGTCGTGGTCGTGGTCATCGTGGTCGTGGTCGTGGTCGTGGTCGTCGTCGTC